ACTAAAGCTACGACTACTAGCAATAATAATAGCTTCACTTGACTCTGACTCTGAAGCAGACAGGCGAGCACAGTGACAGCGTGAGTTGAACCTTTTGGCAAAAATAAAATAATAGAAAAAGGAACAAGAAAAGAACAGCGCGGTTCAGTACAAACTGGGGTTGTTGTGTTTATCTTTAATTTGGCCATGAAACCGTAATTAATCCAATAACACAGAACGTAACTGCGAATGTCACACGAACTTTACCGTCCGATGTGGTGTGTAGCCTGATTGTGTGAAAGCTGAGACATGGTCTGTGGTGGTCTGTGGTGGTCTCAGGTGGTCCTAAAACGGCCACAGTAACGCAGCCGTTTTTTTTTAAACATACATGCAGCACCAAGCGCGTTTAACTCCCGCAGCTCGGTCATGTGGACGTGTCGGAATACTGTTTCACGCTATGGTTTGCATTAAATAAACCAATAAAAGACCGTGTTTTACCGTCATTATGGGCTGTTACTGCGGCAGCTCGGTAACTGTTACCGGGCTCAGGCCAAGGCCTGATGTATAAAACGGACGCGCCTAATTAAAAAACATTCCCCTTTCTTTGTTCCTGCTCAGCAGTCTACAGTCATCCGCTGATACTGACCTAAAAAGTTTGCTGCTGACTTTGAGGTAAGTTAATCATTCCTTTCGATATCTGTACATGTTTGATCAGGTATCACAAATTATTACATTTGTTTAAATTATTACATTTATTTTTAAATATTTTATTCAATTTGATAATCAAATAAGCTTGTTGGTAGAGGAGTACAGACGATTTTAGTTCTGTTAAAACAAATTACCGTTAGCGTTTTCTCTTTGATTGTCTTTAAGTTAAAAACAAATTTTGCCTCTCCGCCAGGGCCAGCCTCCTACACCTCCCCGCCAGGGCCAGCCTCCTACACCTCCCCGCCAGGGCCAGCCTCCTACACCTCTCCGCCAGGGCCAGTCTCCTACACCTCCCCGCCAGGGCCGGTCTCCTACACCTCTCCCCGCCAGGGCCAGTCTCCTACACCTCTCCCCGCCAGGGCCAGCCTCCTACACCTCTCCGCCAGGACCAGTCTCCTACACCTCTCCCCGCCAGGGCCAGCCTCCTACACCTCTCTGCCAGGACCAGTCTCCTACACCTCTCCCCGCCAGGGCCAGTCTCCTACACCTCTCCCCGCCAGGGCCAGTCTCCTACACCTCTCCCCACCAGGGCCAGCCTCCTACACCTCTCCCCGCCAGGACCAGTCTCCTACACCTCTCCCCGCCAGGGCCAGTCTCCTACACCTCTCCCCGCCAGGGCCAGTCTCCTACACCTCTCCCCGCCAGGGCCAGCCTCCTACACCTCTCCGCCAGGGCCAGTCTCCTACACCTTGCCCCGCCAGGGCCAGCCTTCTACACCTCACCGCCAGGGCCAGTCTCCTACACCTCGCCCCGCCAGGGCCAGCCTTCTACACCTCACCGCCAGGGCCAGCCTCCTACACCTCTCTGCCAGTGCCAGTCTCCTACACCTCGCCCCGCCAGGGCCAGTCTCCTACACCTCGCCCCGCCAGGGTCAGCCTTCTACACCTCACCGCCAGGGCCAGTCTCCTACACCTCGCCCCGCCAGGGCCAGTCTCCTACACCTCTCCGCCAGGGCCAGCCTCCTACACCTCTCCGCCAGGGCCAGTTTCCTTCACCTCTCCCCGCCAGGGCCAGTCTCCTACACTTCTCCGCCAGGGCCAGTCTCCTACACCTCTCCGCCAGGGCCAGTCTCCTACACCTCTCCACCAGGGCCAGTCTGTTACACCTCTCCCCACCAGGGCCAGCCTTCTACACCTCCCCGCCAGGGCCAGCCTCCTACACCTCTCCGCCAGGGCCAGCCTCCTACACCTCTTCGCCAGGGCCAGTCTCCTACACCTCTCCGCCAGGGCCAGCCAGCCTCCTACACCCCAGCCTCCTACACCTCTCCGCCAGGACCAGCCTCCTACACCTCTCCCCGCCAGGGCCAGCCAGCCTCCTACACCTCTCCCCGCCAGGGCCAGCCAGCCTCCTACACCTCTCCCCGCCAGGGCCACCAGTCTCCTACACCTCTCCCCGCCAGGGCCAGTCTCCTACACCTCTCCCCGCCAGGGCCAGCCTCCTACACCTCTCTGCCAGGACCAGCCTCCTACACCTCTCCCCGCCAGGGCCAGCCAGCCTCCTACACCTCTTCCCGCCAGGGCCAGCCAGCCTCCTACACCTCTCCCCGCCCGGGCCAGCCTCCTACACCTCTCCCCGCCAGGGCCAGTCTCCTACACCTCTCCACCAGGGCCAGTCTGTTACACCTCTCCCCACCAGGGCCAGCCTCCTACACCTCTCCCCGCCAGGGCCAGTCTCCTACACCTCTCCCCGCCAGGGCCAGCCTCCTACACCTCTCCGCCAGGGCCAGTCTCCTACACCTCTCCGCCAGGGCCAGTCTCCTACACCTCGCCCCGCCAGGGCCAGTCTCCTACACCTCGCCCCGCCAGGGCCAGCCTCCTACACCTCCCCGCCAGGGCCAGTCTCCTACACCTCTCCGCCAGGGCCAGCCAGCCTCCTACACCCCAGCCTCTTACACCTCTCCGCCAGGACCAGCCTCCTACACCTCTCCCCGCCAGGGCCAGCCAGCCTCCTACACCTCTCCCCGCCAGGGCCAGTCTCCTACACCTCTCCGCCAGGGCCAGCCTCCTACACCTCTCCGCCAGGGCCAGTTTCCTACACCTCTCCCCGCCAGGGCCAGCCTCCTACACTTCTCCGCCAGGGCCAGTC